CGCCGCCGCCGCCGCCGCCCGCCCCGGGCCGCGGCAGCAGCGCGGGCGCGTTGTCGTTCTCGTCCAGCACGAACACCTGCAGCGTCACGTTGCTGCCCAGGGGAGGCACGCCCGCGTCGCGCGCGCTCACTTGGAACTGCAGCAGCTCCAGCTCCTCGTGGTCCAGCGGCTGCAGCGCGTACACCTTGCCGCTCTCCGCGTGCACCGACACGTAGCTCGACAGCGCACGCTCGCCCACGCGCCGCTCCACCAGCGAGTAGGACACCAGCGCGTTCTCCTGCGCGTCGGCGTCCCGCGCAGACACCGTGAAGATGTGGCAGCCGGGCGGGTTGTTCTCCTTCACGAACACCGTGTACTCGGGCTGCGCGAATGCCGGCGCGTTGTCGTTCACGTCCGCCACTTCCACGGACACGCTGGCCGTGGCGGAGAGCGAAGGCGAGCCTGCGTCGCGTGCGGTCACTACCAGAGCATAGTCCGACACGCTCTCTCGGTCCAGGGCGCTGTCCAGCACCAGCGAATAGTAATTCTTGAAGGTGGACACCAGCTTGAAGGGGACACGGGGTGTTAGTGAGCAGGTCACCTGCCCGTTGGCGCCAGAGTCACGGTCGGACACGCTGATCAGGGCGATGACACTGCCCACCTGAGCATCTTCTCGCACCGGGAGAGCCAAAGAAGTGATAACCACTTCGGGTGAATTATCATTTTCATCCAGAACTTCCACTAGTACAGTGCAGTGACCGACCATAGGTGGGTTTCCTTTATCTGTAACATCCACATGAATTTCATAAGTGTTACTATCCTCAAAGTCAATAGCGTCATTTACTCTTATTTCTCCCGTTTTTTCATTCATTAGAAATTTCCGCCTTATGCTGGATGGAACCAAAGAACTAAATGAGTATATCATTTCTTTGTTTATTCCTTCATCTGCATCAGACGCATTTAGCCATATTACTAACGTTTGGTTCGCTGAATTTTCATACATCTTAACTTCATAAACGGATCGGTCAAATATAGGTGCATTATCATTGGCATCCAACACCAAGATCAGCAGAGTAACAGATCCAGTATATTCCGGTTTGCCTCCATCAGTTGCGGTTAATAACAACTGAAGCTGAGGATTTTCTTCACGATCCAGCATTTTTCCTAGAACAAGCACTGGGGTTTTGGCTTTGTCCTTTCTGTTTATAATATCAAGAATGAAAAACTCATTTGGACTGAGTCTGTAAGTAAGCACAGCATTCTCCCCAACATCCGCATCAGATGCGCCTTCTAGCGGAAACCGAGAGTCAAGCAGTCGAGATTCGGGTATTGAAAGCTTTTGTTCTGAAACGGAGAAGACCGGCGGGTTGTCGTTTATGTCCTTTACCTCCACCTCCACATGGAAAACCTGCAGCGGCCTGTCCACGATCACCTCCAGGTGGATGCTGCACTCCGCGCTCCGCCCGCACAGCTCCTCCCGGTCGATCCGGGAATTCACAAACAAAATGCCATTCTGCAGATTTACCTCCAGAAGATCCCCGTGACCCTTGGACGCCACTCGGAAGAGGCGCGGCACCAGCTCTGCCAGCTCCAGCCCCAAGTCCTGGGCGATGCGGCCCACGAAGGTGCCGTGTTTGGCCTCCTCCGGGACAGAATAATGGACCTGGCCGCTCCCCGCCTTCCAGGCTGCGAGAAGCAGAAGCGAGAGCAGGCGCAAGGCTCTTGGGCTGCTGGGTGTGTAGACCAACATCATACTTTTCTGCCGATTAACAAATTGATGAATCAGCGGTCTAGAACAAACATGCTCTCTGAACTTCTGCTATTCGACTTCTTACATCTAATTTTATCGAAATGGCTGAGATCTGAGATTGTAGCTCCTTTCTGGTCCTTGAGAAACAGGATTATGCCTTTGTTCTAAAAACATTTTATGGAAGACAGCGACATCCGGTGGCTGATGTGTAAGTACAATTCCATGAATTTAACTTGTCTTTCATTCATAGTTTTTCATTCTATTTTGACGTATTTGTATCTCTATGGATCTCCAAAAGTTCACATGATGTCTCTTTTGTATTAACAGTAATTATTGTTTACCCCTAGTTCAGGGTTTTCTTGAGTGCAGAACCTCAGAGAAGTAATTTCTTCTCCAACCATGATTATTAGTTACATTTGAAAATAGTCTTAATATTTGTATATACTGAGTGTATTAGTATTTTGCTAGATAACAAATTTAGACCACTTCAAGTTTTTTAAAGATCTGATTTATTTCAGAGAATGAGTGGCGGGGAGGAGCAGAGGGAGAGTGAGAAGCGGACTCCCCATTGAGCAGGGAGCTTCATGAAGGACTTGATCCCAGAACCCTAGGATCATGACTTGAGCCAAAGGCGAGTACCCCTAAATATCTTCAAGTTTTGACACTTAGTTCACTTCTCTTTGTCATTTTCTTGAGATTAAATAAACCTTACTAGACCCTAATCTGAAGAATCAGTTCTCTGTGAGGTGTTCAGTCATCCCTAGATAGTTGAGAGAAGATCACTGGCTTCAACATTAGAAGTATCTCCATTCTGACTCCTCTTCTTAAACTTACTGTGTGACTTGGGGAAAATAATTTAACCTCTCTGTCTCTGTTTCCAGTTTTATAACATTCATACAATAACAATATGGTGGTTGTATGAATTATGATACATTAAATGCCTAGGATTGTACCTTAAGGAGAGTGCGTGCTTCATAAATGGCAATATTCTCAGGACTCAATTTAGCCACATTTATTTTCACATTGTGTCAAGACCCCAATAGGCTTTTTGGTAAAAATTATTACCCGTAGAATATTATCACTCTGCAATGCCTTTACTGTTCCTACTGCACAGGCTGGTGGTTCCTATCTTTAGAAAAACAGAAAAGTACTTTTATTGAGAAATCAGTTATACAAGGAGAAGTTTCACTTTTTCCTATGCATCTTATATGGGCAAAAATAAACTTCATTATGATTCTAAATAAAATATTTCAAAAATTTATGATTTCCACTTGCAGAAACAAGTGCTTTCATCTCTGTTATATTTAATCTTTTCAAGGACCCCAAATGTACAGTTTTGGAATTACCTAATAGTTCTCTCAGTGTCAATAAAGCTTTTCATCACTATCTGCAGTAAAAATATTTTCTTTCTCAAAGTTCTTGGAATCAAATATTCAGCAACTGAAACTAATATATCTATACTACTGAAAAAAAAAAGAGAAAGTTCTCTTTTCCCAAGAAGGGAAAACTTAATAAAAGGACTTTGGTCTTATCCAAAGGTTAATTTATTTACTTTAATGATGTTGTGATTTATAAAAGAGATAAAAATTTTTTAATTCTTTTGGTTGTTATTAGGAGCTGAAAAATAGAGCAACATTTATGAACAAGAAAATTGACAGGAATGAGTCATTTAATTCATTGATTCATCTGTTCTACTAAATTGTTTTTTCACTTTTCTACTTCTTTCGACTGATCTCAGGTTAAAGTCCATTCAAATTCTGATTTTAAGGGTTATTTTTCTTGTAAAGCATGAATTAAAGTATAACAAACTGTGGATCCATCCACAATACCAATCAATGTTTAGTTTGAGTTATTACCTGAAATCTAATAAGTTTATCAGTGAATAATCATCTCAACACAAGGTAATGACATAAACTAAACTCCATTCCTGTTAATGTGCATTTTACAGCAAGTAATAACATAAATATGCCAATTAAATCTTCAATAATGAATACAAAGTAGGGGGTAGTTGAATTATATCCTGTCAAATCATAAGAACTTGGTTTGCCAAGCATCTCATAGAGCTATTGGATCTAAAACTTCAGTTGAATAAGAACCACCTGGGGTGCTTATTAAAATGCAAATTTGCCAGTCCTAATTATTTCAGAAATATTGGGATGGAATCTGGGAACCTAAATGTTCAATAAGAACTCCAGGTGTTGCTTATGCACTTAGCATTATCAGGTCTAGGATAGGATAGGCTGACCATAGGCCACAAGTTACCTGGGATATACTCCATTTATGTCTGTGGTCTTCTGTATTTATTTATAGAGTCCCTTCACTCGCAAGTGTCTAAAATTGGGTCAGAACTTAGATAGTTAGCCCTATATAAAAAGTACAATTTAGGGACTGACATAGGGAAGTTTCATTATTGGCTTCATGATTGCTGCTTGAATTGAAGAGTGTTATCCACAGAAACACAGAGAGCTAGATGCTAAGCAAAATACTGAAGTGTCTTCCATGCTCTCACCTCTCCATTTTGAATTTCCGAGCTGTTTTAAGTCCTAACCTCCCTGGATTACAGTGTGCTCATACTTCCTGATGATGCAAAAGATAAATTCATTAGATGTTCACTGATCTTCTGAAAATTTGCATAGGATGATAGCCCGTATTCAGGAGAAAATAAATATTAATATAAAGTACAAAATTAGCAATTATATCAATACAGCCATCAATAACAAAGAATAAAATTTATAATTATAGAAGACATAGTAAAAAATAATACTAGCTCTAAGAGACTAAAGGAGTGGGGGGGTTAAATTTCTAGCCACTCCTCAATCCATATAATCCACATAACATACAAATACCTGGGCCCAATTCACTTAATTCATCGATTCATCTATTCTACTAAATTGTTTTTATACTTTTCTACTTCTTTAGACTGACCTTAGGTTAAAGTCCATTCAAATTCTGATTCAGGTGTCCTTGCACATGAAAAAGTACGACAGAAATATTTGAAGATATGTCTGGATTTAAGGTGAATATGCTGACAGATATGGACAGGATTGATCACAGGAGGTCAGAGAATACTCAAGTTTTTTTTTAGGATTTTATTTATTTATTTGAGAGACAGAGAGAGACTGAGAGAAAGAGAGTGAGAGCATGAGAGAGGGGAGAGTCAGAGGGAGAAGCAGACTCCCCGCTGGGCAGGAAGCCCAACATGGGACTCAATAGCAGGACTCTAGGATCAGGACCTGAGCCGAAGGCAGTTGCTTAACCAACTGAGCCACCCAGGTGGTTACTGAGAATACTCAAGTTTTTTTTTTTTTTTAAAGATTTTATTTATTTAATTGACAGAGAGAGAGGAAACACAAGCAGGGGGAGTGGGAGAGGGAGAAGCAGGCTTCCCGCCGAGCAGGGAGCCCGATGCGGGGCTCGATCCCAGGACCCTGGGATCATGACCCGAGCCGAAGGCAGTCGCTTAACCAACTGAGCCACCCAGGCACCCCGAGAATACTCAAGTTTTGAAAGAAATATAATGAAAAGAGGGGCCCCAAGAGGGGCACAGTTGGTTGAGCAGTGGACTCTTGATTTCATGTCAGGTCATGATCCCAGGGTCTTCAGACTGGCCTTGTGTTGGGCTCTGGGCTCAACAAGGAGTCAGCTAAAGTTTCTCTCTCCCTCTCACTCTGCCCCCACCCCAAGCTTGCTTGCTTGCTTTCTCTCTAAAATAAATAAACAAATACAACTTCTTAAAATATATATATATAATGAAAAGAAAATAGATTGCTTTATAACATATACCAAACATGTCCTCTATAAGGGAAAAGAAAAAGTTACTGAAATATATTATTTAAGTGAATTTTACTTGCACTTTTATGGTTTTATTGTGGCTCTATTCTCAAAGCTACTCTGATTTTGCTCTGCTGAGTTTTTAATTAAGAAATACCTTGTTAAAAATCTAACACAATAAAAATATTGGAATAGAAAAATAAGTCACATAACAAAATTCAAAATAAGTACAAATGAAGTTTCTAAAATATAAATTAGAAAACAAAAACTTGGACTAAAGACAGTGTGAAGAACCACCAATCTGAAAGTCACATGCCACAATTCAGGAAATATAAGTTTAACATGTAATGAGTTTAAAGGTGCAATTGATTCATCTCCAGATTTCTGTCTTTCAGAATATTGAGAGAAAAGGAAATCAACATCTCCACTGATAGGGGTAACTTTTTAAAGTTATAGACTGAATTTCAAGAGAATTCAAAGTGTAGAATGTACATATATCTGCAATGTACAAACATGTATACTAACAAAAATTTCAGTAAAAAGGAGAAAGTCTTCTGAAGAAAGAAAGTACCTCTCAGGAAGTATTTTCTGCAATATCAGATAAAAGATCAATTTTAAGAAATTTTCTAAATGTAAAAAAGATTCTCAATCAATACACTGTCAAGCATATAGAAACATATTTTACAAAAGTTGGAATGAGGGGCATCTGGGTGGCTCAGTCGTTAAGTGTCTGCCTTCGGCTCAGGTTATGATCCCAGGGTCCTGTCATGCAGCCCTGCATCAGGCTCCCTGCTCAGCTGGAAGCCTGCTTCTCCCTCTCCCACTCCCCCTGCTTGTGTTCCTTCTCTTGCTGTGTCTTTCTTTGTCAAATAAATAAAAATCTTCAAAAAAAAGTTGGAATGAATTATATTTCTAACATTTGTTGTCAGAATTAGATTACTTCGGTAAAGTAACAGTTTTCTAGGATATACTGAAATTTATTCATCGAAATATTAAACACTGAGTAGTGCTGGCCAAACATGTCTCCAGTCTCCATCCAGAGAAAGGTAGAAAATGACAATTACATATTTCCGCTTTGGGGTTTCTTATAAACAATAGATTATATACTAAAGTACCATGCAAACTTTAGAAATGAGGGGCACCTGGGTGGCTCAGTCAGTTAAGCGGCTAAGCGCTTAAGCGTCTACCTTTTGCTCTGGTCATGATCCCAGGTTCCTGGGATCCAGCCCCCTCACCGGCTCCCTGTTCAGCTGGGTCTGCTCCTTCTTCTCCCTCTGCCCCTCCCCTCTCTCGTACGCACCCACGCTCTTTCGCACGCGCACTCTCTCTCTCAAATAAATCAATAAGATCTTTTTTTAAAAAGAAATGAATAAATGATAGACTGGTGTTGAAGTATTCTTAATATGTAGCAGTTAAGTTGTATTTCACTGAATAGTTTTCAGGTACAGTGGCAGCGCAGCTTTAGGAATTCAATATGATTCCCATGGCAGGTTTTAATGAAATTGATTTCAGCACCCAATAAATATTTACTCAATGTATGGATTTTAATGATTTGTAATTGGAAGTCAAAATACAAAAGGCAGGTATAAACTTAAAGTATTCAACTTCCGAATAATAAATAAGAAAATATTGGCAGATCTCTAGAATAAATGAGTAAAAACTATTTTTTTAAAGAAGAGAGATTTTTCAAAAATGTTTTATTTACTTATTCATGAGAGTCAGAGAGAGAGAGGCAGAGGCAGAGGGAGAAGCAGGCACCCCACTGAGCAGGGAGCCCGATGCGGGGCTCCATCCCAGGACCCCGGGATCATGACCTGAGCTGAAGGCAGACGCTTAACCATCTGAGCCACTCAGGCGCCCCAAGTAAAAACTATGTAAAAACACCGTCTGCAATAAGAATGTCTTTCACATTTCAAAAATAAATATATGTGAATAAAATATTTGAGAAACCCACCTTTCCAGAGAACTCCAAAGAAGCTTGTGGATCTTCCGTCGCATTTAGAGATCCAGGACACGGAGGAAG